GATGAACGTTAAAAACATTATGCTAAAAGAAAGAAGTCTATCACAGAACATCACATATTATGTTACTCCATTTATATGGAATGTTGAGAATAAGCAAACCATAGTGACAGAAAGTAGATTAGTCATTGCCGGAGTCTGGGAAGAATGGGGAGTGACTGCCAGTGGATATGGGGTTTCTTTTTGGGGGGATGAAAATAGTCTAAAATTAGATTGTGGTGATAGTTGTACAACTTGGAATATGTTAAAAACCACTGAATTATCCACTTTAAATTCTGTGATATGTGAATTCTGTCTCAATAACGCTGTTAAAAGAAGCTTCTGACAATTTTTTGGGGGGTAGAGAGCATTTTTAAAATAAAATTTACTATAGTATTAAATTTTTGTTGATTTTATTATAGAAGTTATTCCTATTTTCATTTGATCTAATAGTTTGTCTTTGCCTAAGACTCTACTTTAACATTCTATATTTCAGCAGTTAAGATGGGGGTGCAGCTCTCATAGTAGACTGCTATAGGATTATTTGTTCCTTGACTGACTGACTTGCGCGTGTATGTTTCTGAGGGATGTGTGCTCTCTAGATGCACCCATATATCTATCTGAACCTTTGTTATGCCTTCTGGTTATTGAAACTGTTATTTGAGCCATGTTTTACAAGGAACTATCTGATCATTTATGTTAAAACTCCATCTAACCTCTGGTTGCCATTGTCTTTCCATCCTCAGTGTGTCCGTCCTGTGTAACTTGACCTTCAGCATAGTCAGTTTATCAATTTATTAGTGTTAGTCCTCCAATTTTCAATTTTCTTTTTCAGGGCTATTTTTCTATTCTACGTCCTTTGTATTTCCACATGAATTGCGGAATAAGCTTGTCAATTTCTTAAAAAAAAAAGTATGCTGGTCTTCGGAAAATTCCATTTGGATTATGTTGAATCTACCAATTAATTTAGGGAGAATTGACTTCTTAAATATACTGAATTTTCAACCCCTGAAGAGAGTATCTCTCTCCATTTATATAGGTCTTTAATTTTCTCAGTAATATTTTGTAGTTTTTAGTGTACAGTCCTTTCCATCTTTTATGAAATTACCTGTATTTCTTACCTTTCAATGCAGTTATAAATAATATATTTTAAATTTTAATTTCTGATTATTCATTGCTAATATATAGGAATACAGCTGATTTTTGTTTATTGATTCTGTATCTTCCAACATTGCTAAACTCATTTATTAGTTCCAGTATAATTTTTGTAGATTCCATCAGATGTTCTACACAACCAAAGGTTGTCAAACTTTTTCTTTCTTAAACTACTATCTTACTAAAGATAGTAAATATTTAAGACTTGTGGCCAATACATTCTCTGTCACAAATAATCAGCTCTGCCATTTACCATGATAGTAGCCATAGACAGTACATAAATTAATGGACATGGCTGTATTTAGGTAAAACTTTATTTACCAAAACAAGCAACCTGGCCCAGAGGTTGGAGTTTGCTGACTCCTATTATGTCATCATGTTGTCTGGTAATCAATACAGTTTTACTTCTTCCTTTCCTTTCTGGATGCCTTTTGTTTCTTTATCTTGCCTGATTACACTGGCTAGAACCTCTAGTATGGTGCTGAATAGAAGGAGTAAAACAAGTCATTCGTGTCTTGTTCTTGATCTTATGGATCACCATTACGTAGGATGTTAGCTGTAGATCTTGTCATAGATCTTCTTTATCATAGTGAAGAAGTTCCCTTGTATTCCCCGTTTGCTGAAAGTTTTTAGCAGGAACAGATGTTGAATTTTGTCATGTGCCGTTTTTTAATCTACTGCTGTGACCATATGGTTTTTCTTTCTTAGTTTGTTAATATGGTGAATAACATTAACTGATTTTTTTTTTAATTTTTTTTCTTCCCCAAAGCCCCAGCAGATAGTTGTATGTCATAGTTGCACATCCTTCTAGTTGCTGTATGTGGGACGTGGCCTCAGCATGGCCAGAGAAATGGTGCATCGGTGCGTGCCTGGGATCCGAACCTGGGCCTCCAGGAGCGGAGCGTGTGCACTTAACCACTAAGCCACAGGGCCGGCCCAACATTAACTGATTTTTGAATGTTAAACCAACCCTGCATTCCTGGGATACACCCCCATTTGGTCATGACCAGTTATCCTTTTAATGGATAGTTGAATTTGATTTGTTAATGTTTTGTTTAGAATTTTTACCTCCATGTTCACGACACAGTTTTCTTTCTTTTAATATCCTTGTGTGGTTTTAGGGTAATGCCAGCCTTATAAAATGAGTTGGGACATATTTCCTCTCTTCATTGTTTTGGAAGAGTTTGTGTAAAATTGGTATCATTGCTTTCTAAAATGTTTGGTAGAATTCACCAGTGTAGCCATTTGGGCCTGGAATTTTCTTTGTGGGAAGGTATTTAACTAGGACTTCAGTTTCTTTTACAGATATAGGGCTATTTAGCTTATCTGTTCTTTCTTGACTGAGCCTTGGTAATTTCTGTCTTTCAAGGAATTTACCCACTTCATCTGAGTTGTCAAATTTACTTACATAAAGTTCATAATATTACTCTCTTATTCTTTTACTATCTGTAGAATCTGTCGTAATGTCACATTAGTCTATTCTGATATTGGTAATTTTTGCCTTCTTTTATTCCTTATTGGGTTGGCTAGAGGTTTATCACTTTTATTGATCTCCTGAAAGCATTTGGTTTCATTGATTTTTCTCTATTGTTTTTCTCTTTTGTGTCACATTGATTTCATGTTTGATGTTTATTATTTCCTTTTTCTGCTTACTTTGCTTTTCTTTCTCTAGTTTCTTAAGGTGAAAGCCAAGGTCATTGATTTGAGACCTTTCTTTTTTTTTTTTTGCTGAGAAAGATTCGTTCTAAGCTAACATCTGTCACCAATCTTCTTCTTTTGCTAGAGGAAGATTCACCCTGAACTAACACCTGTGCCTGTCTTCCTCTATTTTTTTTGTATGTGGCTTGCTGCCACAGCATGGCCACCGACGAGTGGTGTAGGTCCGCTCCTGGGAAATGAACCCCGGCTACGGAAGCAGAGCGTGCAGAACTTAACCACTAGGCCACCAGGCTGGCCCCAGAGACCTTTCTTTTTTAATACAGACATTGGGCACTATAAATTTCCATGTAAGTACTACTGTAGAAGCATTCCACAAATTGTGATATGTTTTCATTTTCATTCGGTTCAAAATACTTTCTAATTTCTCTTTTCATTACCTCTTTGACTCAGGGGTTATTTAGATGTATGTTATTTAGTTTCCAAATATTTGAATATTTTCCAGAGATATATTTGTTCTTGATTTCCAATTTGATTGCTTTGTGGTCAGGGAACATACTTTGTATGACTTAAATCCTTTACTTCTTTATTAAGATTTATTTTATGACCCAGAATATAGTCTTTTTTGGTAAGTGTTCCATGAATATACTTGAGAAGATTGTGGTGTTCAAGCCTACTACATCCTCAATGCTTTTCTGCCTACTTGCTCTATCACTTATTGAATGAGCAGTATTGAAATCTCAGGCTATAATTGTGAATTGGTCTATTTTTCTTTGCAGTTCTATCAGTTCTTGCCTCATGTATTTTGAAGCTGTTATTAGGTGCATAAACATTTAGGATTGTTATGCTGCTTATTATTTGAGCTTTTTATCATTATGAAATGACTTTTTTGTAGCTGGTAATATTTTTGCTCTAAAATCTACTTTGGTATTAATATAGCCACTCCAGCTCAACCACCTTCTGTCATGTGGTAGTGTGGTGTATTTTATTTCCATCCTTTTAACAAATTTGTGTCGTTGTGTTTAAAGTGCATTTACTATATGTGGCATATAGTTGGGTCTGAGGGTTTTTTTCTTGTTTTTTCTTTTTTTTTGCTGAAGAAGATTTGCCCTGGGCTAACATCCATGCCAATCTTCCTCTATTTTTTTTTTAGTATGTGGGCTGCCAGCACAGCATGGCCACTAACAGAGAAGTGTAGGTCGGAGCCTGGGAACCGAACCTGGGCCGCCCAAGTGGAGCACGCTGAACTTAACCACTAGGCCACTGGGGCTGGCCCCCGGGGATCTTGGTTTTTTACCTGTCTGTCTGTTTTTTACCTGTCTGTCTGTTTTTTATCTGCTAGTCTGTCATCTAACAAAGATAATGATAACCACCTTGCAGGGTTGTTGTGTGGCATGAGTTAAAATATCTTCTACAGGACCTGGTAGGTGTATCATAGAAAGTGGCTGTTATACTTTTTAAAACTTCTCCATGTAAGAATTAAAGAGAAAAAGACTTAAGAAAAAACCCTTTCCTACTGTTACGTGTTAATGACTACGGTATGCTGCAAAAAACACTAAGTCAAGGAGACAGGAGAATTTCCAGTTTCCTATTCAATCATAAAATGGCTCAGTGACTTTCCTTAGGTACCTTCTCCCTTTGAATCTTTTTCCTCACCTGTGACACAAAAAGATCATGCCAAGGGTCTCCTGAGCTTTAAAGTATAAATCAACTATGATACAGGTAACTTTCAGCCTTATTCAACTAATCGTAAGTATATCCGTGGGTTTTTAAGTTTTACCTGAGCATTCATGGATATAGTAACACACCATTAACCCAGCTTTAGAAAATTTGGGTTAGTTCATTCACAACTGAAGTCAGATCTGTATGCCTGAGAGAGGTAAGGTAACTGCATGAAATCAAAGGGTGGCTGATCCGTCCAAATACACTCTTGGTTTCATCCTTTCTTTGGAGGTCACCTGGCAGGTAACTAATTGGACCCCTCACCTTATTCAGGCCGGCTAAGTCTTCCACTCAACCCACACCATTTGCCCATTTCCCCTGCGCCCAGGAACTTGATCTGTTTGCTGACCGGCGCAGCCGCCCCTCCCTCCTTAAAGCCCCGCCCAAGCCACCTGCCAGCGGATGCGCCCCTGGCGGAAGTGGGAAACTCCGGCGACGTGACGTAGCGGCAGTTTGCGGCTGCGGATTGGGGGGGGGGGGGGGGCGTCGCGTCGCCGGAAGTGACGCAAACCGGAAGCAGCTTTCCACAGAGGACTGGGGGCGCGGTTTTGGAAATTGGGCCTCGAGATTGAGTGAGACCGAGCCAGTGCCGGCGTGGTTTCCAGGCCCCTGTCCAGTTCACAGCGGGTTGGATCGGCACGCCTATTGTTTTGTTTTTCGCTGCAGCGTGAATGTCGTTGTCTCCCAGTGACTTCCGGGAGCGTCCCTACAGGAGGACCGAGGACCGGGTGTGGAGCGAGGAAGCCGCGCCCAAGTGGCTGCGCTGAGGCCGCCTGGATGAGCCTCCGCGTTTCCGAGTTGAGCTCGCCTGAGCGGCGCGAGTTTCCTGGGCATCCCGTGGTCCCCGCACCGTGTGGGCGGTTGTTGATTGTCAGGACGCTCCCTGTAATTCGGAAAGAGAAAACCCACCGTTTTCCAGCATTTCCCTTGGAGGAGAACTAGGCAATAGGAAAAATGTCTATTTTCCCTAAAATATCTTTGAGACTTGAGGTTGAAAATTATCTTAAGGCGGGCTTTATGAATAAGGAGGTAGGTCAGATAAAAATGTTAGATGATATTTGCAAAAAGTCAGATATTTACACACTCGAGAGAAAAAGAGAAACGTGTAAAAGGAAACCTAATCTTTACAGCTGTTGTTTCTTATTAATCAACTTTCTGAGTGTAAAAAATGCCAGTATCTTTCCGCAAGTGTTTAGTGAATGCTTTCCGAGATAAGAGGGGAATGGGGTCTCTGTGTGAATACTTAGGAATGGGAAAGAAGGGAGGGGAAAAAGCGGTTTCGTGCCTGGCACTGAAGGGGTTACAGGATGCGCAAGAAAAGACCCCCGTCCTGGGGAATGTAAGCCCTTTAAAGAAGAGACGCCTGCACTCTCAGAGCGCTTGCTCTGGCGCTCAGGTGGAAAGGATACCCTAATTTGTTGGGTGCCTCTTAAATTACACCAGTGGTGCTAGGTGATCTGCAGACCTTTACGTCTTAATCTGCGCAAACATTTTTTTGGTAGAGATTTCCTCCCCATTTTTAAAGATGAGAGAGCTGAGGGTCCAAAGAGTCACGTAACTGACCCGAATGGACACCCCTCTCGAGTAACAGTGCTGAAATCTGAAGCTAAAGAGCTCACGTACAATGGAAAAGGGCGCAGATTTGGAATCCCAAGCCCTTGAATTGCGTCTCAGTGCTTTGAGTAAATTACTTCACATCACTTACCCTTGATTTCCTTTTCTGTAAAACTGAGGATGGCTAAAAAGACTTACCTTACAAGGTTTTTGTAGGGTATTAATCATAAGTGAAAGCAGCTGGCGTCGTTCTGGCGCATAGTAAGTCCTCAACAGCTGTCCATTCCGTGTGCTCCTGGCAGTGCCCAGCACGGAAGTCCTCATTACATGTTGATTGTCTCTGATCGCCAATCCTGAGCGCTTTCCACTTCCCCATCCTGCCTCCCGGCAGCTGTGTATTTTCCAAATCTTTGGTTTTCTATTTAAAGTAAAGCCACTTACATGTTATTTGTTTTGGAAGATGTTACTGAAGCCATAACTTTTAGATTGGATGTCTTCATTTTATTTCCAAAGATTATGTTAAGGGACTAGACAGTAGGGAAAGAGAAACTATCTTCTCTTGATTTCAAAGAACTTAAAATACAAGGAGCATATTAAGTGAAATAGAGGCCTTCAGCAATTTTTTCCAGCAATTTTTAAAATGGTGAACTTTGTTTTATGAAAGAAGATCCAAATGTCTTTGACACAACCTGTGCCTCAAACCCACTATGTGCTTTTACACAAAGAAAAGCCATCCCTTTGTAAACAGTATCAAAGGTAAAGGAATATTTAGTTTTAAAAAAACAAACTAAACCTTGAGAAAATACTAATTTTTGACGCTGGTGGATTATTAGGCTGGCAAGTGGTTTATGAAGATTCTGTTAGGCATAGTCAAAGATGACAAAAAAAGGAACAACAGATGTCTCTAAAAGCTTCAGTTAATTGCAAGGGAACTTGGTTGAGTCTTTCTAGCTTCATTTCTGACAGATATCTTTGCTACCTGTCTTCTTTTGGACGATATCTATTTGTTATGTTTAATAATACCTTATTAAAAAGCTGATGTCGTGGGGGATCTTTGGATGAAAGTATCAGTGTTACTTATTCTTTAAATATTGGTGTTTTAAAAGTCTGCTAATCGTTTTGCTCTACGATATGAGGTTAGCAAGTAAATAGTCCTACAGAAGTGATGTAACAGTTAACACATAAATAAGTAGAATGAAATCCTGAATTTATATGAGTAAGTGTAGCCGATATTGATATGTTCAAAATGTTAAAAATGCTTTGATGTTGAGGCAGTGTTTTTTTAAGCCCTTTATGTTGGGCATTTTGTTGGGTGTTTATTATCACAATTAAACCCAAGAACCCTGTGAAGTATTACCATTCCCTAGTGTTATTAACACACAAACAATACAGCAAAATGAAATGGAACTGAACAATTGCTGAAAAATGTTTCATTAGTTGGAAAAAAGGTATATGCATATTCTGCTTAATATTTTTAATTCATATAATGCAATTGAAACATTAACTTACTGTTTTCTTCCTTTCAGATTGTGTCTGCTTTAGGTAAACAAGAAGCAGAAAGGAAGTTTGAAACTCTGTTAAATCACTTGTCACACCCTCCATCATTCACAACTGTCAGAGTAAATACACATCTAGCTTCAGTACAACATGTGAAGAATCTGTTATTTGATGAACTTCAGAAGGTTTGTGCAAATTTTTAACTCATGTGCATAAATAGATTTCTACAATCTATGTCATTTTGCTCCTCACTAAAATCCTATGAATGATATAGTAATGTGTCAGTTTTACAAACAAGGAAATTCAGGGTCATGAATATTAAATTGTTAGTTACATAGTGAGTGGTAATGCTAGAACTTGGACTTACCCCTTCTGATTCTGAATTTATGGTTTTTAGTGATTAGATAGGACACTCAACCCCTCTGGGCCTCAGTTGCTTCATCATTAAAATACATGCGAAGACGTCTGTTCTAACCCTAAAAGTCTATGATTTTGTAATAAGCAGCGTGTAATGACCAGGAGGGCCGATTGCATAGCTGAGGTGAGCTGTACTTGGTAGAAATGTAGTTATAGTTCTAAAATAGGAACAGTTTTTTTTTAATCAACTTAGAAATAAGTTGATTTTAGAAGTTTTTTCTAGATGGTGTATGGATTCTATAGGGCAATGCAAATATCTGTTATTCTTACTGCTCTTTCACATAGTATGTGAAAATTAGTTAGTTGATAATTCCTAGACTTTATGGCAGAGACTTGTTCTCAAATATTCACGTGTTGCCCTCTGATAGAGTACACAGGCCTTCTGTCCGGTCCACTCTTCTGCTCTTTATTCTACTGTGTGAAGTGCCCAGTCATCTTCTGCCTGCAACGCTGGTACACTGGTACATGTTGAATAACTCACTTTTCTGGGAAAAATGACCCTGGTTTGTGGTGTTTGCTGATGTCCATGGTGTAAATACTCCTACTGTGGTCACTTTTAAGCTACCAGCATGACCGTGGAGTTGGGAACGAATACACAGAGTTGGCTCTCAGGAGACTGTGTGAGCTGGCCCCAGTGCTATGCCACTGGCCCTGCACCCGTTTCCACTCTGAAGGCCAAGTACGATAGACGATACTGAAAATTCTGAACCTTTGCCAAAAAGCATTTATTTCCCTCATCAAAACTGACATGTCATCTGGTGTTGATAGTGTAAAATACATAGTATTAAATAATCTCAATCTTTATTGTCCTATTCAGAAGCTTTTCTTAAAAGAGTACTGCATGCAATTCTATATTTAATATATGTTTTCAGAGTAAGTCACTTAAAGTAAACATGGTTTGTATTTATAAAGCCAAACAGTAAGCAAAACTGAGCCTTTAAAGAAGTGGGGATACTTCAGAATCAAATTATAGAGAAAACATAGTTGTTTTGAAGTCTTTGATTTTTATAGTATACCGTGGAATAAAGTGAAAATATCCCAAACCAATCTTCATGCTCTGCTAGGTAATGATAGTGGAAAGCTCCATAAACTGAAATTTATCAAATAGATTGATTGCTTTATAATTCTGTGTGTTTATTTTTAACAGCAGTTTAATGGATTAAGTGTTCCTATTCTTCAACATCCAGACCTTCAGGATGTCTTACTTATTCCTGTTATTGGACCTAGGTATGTAACTATTTCATTTTCAAATTCTGTTCTTCTAAATTTGTCACAGGTTCTTTTTAACTATTTGGTGGTAATACTAAGTTTCTTCATTATTAGAAACTTTCTATAGATAGGTAGGAATTGACAAATTATAAATGCTGACTGCATACTCTCTCATGGAAAATATTATAATACTAGACAAGGAATGGACCCAAATACCTTGAGAGTAATGCATTTTAGGTCCATTTAGTACAGCAATTGATTTTTTCCACTTTCTAAGAAACTTCATTACTTCATTTCATTTGTTTACCTGTATATCTTAAGAGAGTCCAGTGCTAAATTAAAACTTTTTTTTTTTTTTTGTGAGGAAGATCAGCCCTGAGCTAACATCCATGCTAATCCTCCTCTTTTTGCTGAGGAAGATTGGCTCTGAGCTAACATCTATTGCCAATCCTCCTCCTTTTTTTTCCCCAAACCCCAGTAGATAGTTGTATGTCATAGTTGCACATCCTTCTAGTTGCTATATGTGGGGTGTGGCCTCAGCATGGCCGGAGAAGCGGTGCGTTGGTTCGTACCCGGGATCCGAACCCAGGCCGCCAGTAGCAGAGCGAGCGCACTTAACCGCTAAGCCACGGGGCCGGCCCTAAAACTTTTTTTTGAGCTACAGCAAAAATACAAAGCAACATACTTCCTACTTTCATAGCTGATGCGTTTGTAACATTTTATTCATTAATTCACATTTATGTTAAATTATTATGTATGTCCTGCTGTGAGTAGAACAGGCATTGTTCTAGACATTTATGTATTTGGAAGGCATACGTTAGAAAACTGAAGAAAACAGGCTTTCATGTTATAATGGGAATTCTATTCCCAAGGAGAATTTTAAAATCCCTAATTATGGTATATTTTTTTTGTACCTCTAAGAGTTATAATAAATACAAAAAAATGTTCTTTTTGTTAAAGCTTTAAAGTAGTTTAGTGGTCAACAGTAGAGCAATGGTTCAGTAAATTACGTTTTATCCATGCAGTGGAATATTATATGGCCTTTAATGTGGGAGAATTATATCTACCAATAAGAAAAGATGTTCATGATTAATTGTTAAGTATCAAAAGCATGTTGCTGTGCATAGGATAATTACATTTCTTTTGCAATTAAAAAAATATAACTGCACATCTATGTATACTATATATAGAAGAAACTCTAGTGGGTATAACATACCCAACTATTAACAAGGGTTGACTGAGTGGTTAACTCTGAAGAAGTTGGATTGGGAGAAAGAGGGTAAGAGGAGATTTTCACTTGTAACATTGCTGTTTTAGTTTTTTTTTTTTTTTTAACTAGAAGCAGGTATTACTTTTGCAATTAAAATAATTGATTTTGTAAGCTCCTTATTCTATTCATTTTTTAAGGTGAAATTTGCATACAGTGAAATGGAGAGATCTTAATTGAGAGTACCATTTGCTGAGTTTTGCCAAATTTATACAGCTGTGGAGCCAAGACCCACCCCAATCAAGATATAGACCATTTCTATTACCCCAGAAAATTCTCTTGCTTTCTGCTCCACACCAGGAAACCACTGTTCTAATTTCTATTATTTCGTAGTTAGTTTCAAACCAGTCAGTTACTACAGTTGATCACAATCACAAGTGTTTTGAGGTTATGCTTCTTGATTCATTTTAGAATATACTGTGGACATCTTTCCATGATGTCCATAATTTTCGCTGATTCTGCATAATGCTATCTCATTCTCTTTAATAGCTATCTAAATACTATATTTTATCATTCAGCTCAACTTTATTTTTTCAGCCCTCTATTGATAAACATTTAGTTTTTTCCTGTTTTTCATTATTACCAACAGTGAATATTAAGATATTTCTTTGTGGACTTGCATAAGCATGTCTACAGGATAAATTGGTACAACGTGGAAATTACTGCTTCAGTGGTCTGCGTATTTCAGTTTCAGACATATTGCCCTCAAAAAAGTTTTACCAGTTAATATTTCTAACTGTATATGAGAGAATCTGATTCTTCCATTCTTGCCAATACTAGCCATTTTAGTTCTTTTAAAATATTTAGATGACTTAACTTTAATTATTTTCTATACTTCTTACTTTTACCTGACCTTAATAATCTTTTCATCCTATTCTTTGTAGTTATCTAGGCTGCTCATCAGAACGTTAGTGAACTAAACACAAATGGTGAGTTACTAAGGAAAGTATTCAAACATCATTTAGGATTGTAGATTCACATACCTATCCTTCGTTTCTAAAAGGAGCAAGTCAATTCTTATTTTTTAAACTCACCATCACTGTTATCTTTTGACTTTCCGCTATGAAAAATGAGGAAGTTCTTACACATAAATTTCCCTAAAACCTGCACCAGCCAATTCTTATTTACTCTGTTTGTTTTTTAACATTGTAAAGGTTTATAACATTTTTATTCCGTAAGTACAATTCAAATGGATGTAATGCTTACATTCAGTTCTAATGGCATAGTTGATTTCTGAGGTCTGATGTAGTAGTTTCAGGTCACATGTTATTTCCCTCAGCACTTTGTAGACATTGCTTTTGTAATCTTATGGCATCAAGTGTAGCTATGAAGAAATCTGAGGCCACAAAAAATTTTCTCCCTTGCAACGGTATCTTGGTTTTTGGAAAGAGTACGTTCACATAGATTCACCGAGTTTGCAGTCTGCTCAAGAATGGTACAGAATGGAGTCAAATGTGTGCCCAGACAGCTAATCAGATATTTTCTGGAAATGCTTTCACTAGGTCTTCCCTAGTGGCATGTCTCTCATCCTGGTGAGCAGAGCTGATAAAGACTGAGGCTGTCTGTGTGAGCTATTTCTGTTTGGGACTTGAATTTTTGTTGATGCTCAGTTAACTCAGGGGAGAAGCAACCAAGTTGATTGCTATTTCCCTTCTCCTCCCTTAGCTACTTCGAGGCAGCTTATCCAGTTGTGTTAGAGAAAACACAGATTGTTTGCTTGTGCCAATTCAGATAGTCAGTTCCTCTTTCAGCTGTATCTGCTCTGAACGGGGCACTGACAACACATTCCAAGATTCTCCTTTTTTCTACCTGAACCTCCAGTCCTGGTTCTAAGTAATAAATATTTGATTAGGCCCCCAGAAGCCTTTTCTTTTCAGAGATATTCATACCCTGTTGAGGAACTAGGTTTGGATCTGAATTTCACTGTCAGCTAATTATTCTTCATCATTGGGATTATAGCTATTTCTTAGTTTTATTGCAAATGGAATTTTCTTCTCATTTTTTTTTCCTCCATTTCTATGGGCTTCAGAAAAAGGAATATACACTCTTACTCTTTACTGACCTTTTATTAGAAGCTCAATATCACACAATTATTTAAAGTATCAAAACATAGGTTAAAGTTTATTTATAGACATTAAATAGTTTTAAAAGTAATTTCTCACCATAAATTCAGGTTCCCTCAGTTTATTTAACATGATATTTAATATACTGATCAAATATATCTTAATGTTGGGAAGGTTTTAGCATTGATTATTTAATGAGATTGAACATAAGGTGGTAATGCTGAATTTGATGGTATCAGTGCCAACTTTAGGAGAAAATTGAATACCAGGCTTCTCTTGATATAGGAATGTTTTTAACTTCATATCTCAATCAGCATTTTCTAAAGATTGCATTTAGATCAGTAGAATTTTTTAGGCCAGTATTCAATTTTAATTTTTAGAGATCTCTACATTTTTCTCTGTTAGTATTCCTCCCTTTTTGATAAAAATCCCAAGAAGGGGCCGGCCCGGTGGCACAAGTGGTTAAGTGCGCACGCTCCGCTGCGGCAGCCCGGGGTTCACTGGTTCAGATCCCAGGCGCGCACTGTCGCACTGCTTGTTAAGCCATGCTGTGGCGACGTCCCATATACAATAGAGGAAGATGGGCATGGATGTTAGCCCAGGGCCAGTCTTCCTCAGCAAAAAAAGAGGAGGATTGGCATTGGATATTAGTTCAGGGCTAGTCTTCCTCACAAAAAAAAAAAAAAATCTGAAGAAAATATTTCTAGCAGGTCAGGAAATTAGCTTTCTTCCTTTCCTTCACAACTGAATACATAATTCAATAGCGTGAATCTCTTGAGATCCAAATGAGGCTGGATCTGCCCTTCTCTTTCGGCTGCTTGATTTCTATCTTTCTTCATTGCCTTGTCCCTAGAATCAGCACTTTAAGCTATCAATACTGTTTGTGTACATGAAATGATAGGGTAAATGCAATAAAATATTCAAGTGATTGCACAAAGACTGCTGATGAAATACAGATGGCAATCCTGCTGAAAAGAAATATTTGGTTGGCATGCAAGGCTATCATGTGATATCTCAATTATATTTATCTCCCATTTGGTGTAGAGTTGTAAAATGTGTGGTTAAAAAAGTGCCAAATAGGTAAAAGTTTATATTTTTATATACTCTTTAGTGGGACATTCTCATAATTTCTGTCTTTAATTCCTAGTGACCTCATTTTTAGCTATTTTAATAGTTTTCTTTTAATCTAAGTACCTGCATATTATTTTTCCTCCAATCCGTATTACTATACTCTGGGCCAGCCCAGTGGTGTAGTGGTTAGGTTGACGTGTTCTTCTTCGGCATCTCGGAGTTCATGGGTTCAGATCCCAGGCGCAGACCTACATACTGCTCATCAAGCCATGCTGTGGTGGCGTCCCACATACGAAGTGGAGGAAGATGGGCACAGATGTTAGCTCAGGGCCAATCTTCCTTACCAAAAAAAAAAATCATCTTTCTTTAATGTTGTTGATTTACTGTTTTATTTAGAGACATTTCAATAAAATTAAGCTTTTTGCGTGTTTATGGCCCCACATCAACTTTTACATTTCCTCTTTTGTATTTCCAGCTAAAACTTCCCTGCAGCAAAGCTGACTTACACCTTGATATTTGCATATAACATATTATGTTTTTATACAGTTAGTCCTTGTGTTGAGGGATCCCCAAGACCACTCTCTGATTCCATGTTTCTCTGGAAAGACTCAGAAGATTTAGCATATAGTCATACTCATGACTATGATTTATTCCAGCGTAAGAATCTGAAGCAAAATTAGCAAAAGATGCATGGGGCAAAGTCTAGTGAAAACCATTTGCAAACTTCCAGAGTCCTTTTCCAGTGGATTCACACAGCATGCACTTAATTCCCCCAGCAACGAGTTTGACAGTATGTGAGCTGTTGCCAACCAGGGAAGCTTGTTAGAGACTGAGCATCCAGGGTTTTTATTCAGACCTGGTCATGTAGGTACCGACTGCCTGGTACGTACCCAAATTCCAGCCTCCCAGAAGGAAAGTTTATGGTATTCACCATAAACCACATTGTTTGTACAAACAAATTAGGCACATTGAGTTACCCTTTTCAGTTAATAGTGGGAACACTCCTGAAATCTAAGTTCCCAGATGCCAGCCAAGGACTGACTTTGTAACCAGGGCTTCCAAAGAAAAGATAGCCTGCTACCATAACTCACTTCTCTAGTCTTTAATTCTTTCTTCTCTATGAAATGATTATTCTCATCAAAATTTTTGAGTAACGCTACAAGGTTCCATTACACAAAACATTTTTTGAATTGGTGCTATATGTAAGACCCAAAGGTGTTAACAAAGATGAATGAAACATAGTTGTGTAGTCTAAAAGCAGGGAACTTCGGTGCTAGTCAGGCTGTGATGAATGCCACAGTAGAGGTGTAAGCACCATCAGAGCATAGAATAGGAAGGGCAGGGTGCAAGGAAATTGGTCAGGATTTTCTCCAAGTAAATATTATTTTAGTTGATCCCTGAAGGCGAGTAGGAATTAGGCCAATGAGGAGATAAAGTGGGTAAGGGTATGCTAGGTAGCAAGAAAGCATATGCAAAGATATGGAGGCATGAAAATGTGTGGTGGTTCATGACAAAAGTGATCAAGTTTGGGGGCTGGCCTGGTGGCGCAAGCGGTTAAGTGCACGCGCTCTGCTGCGCCGGCCCGGGGTTTGCCGGTTCGGATCCCGGGCGCGCACCGCTTGTCAAGCCATGCTGTGGAGGCGTCCCATATAAAGTGGAGGAAGACGGGCATGGATGTTAGCCCAGGGCCAGTCTTCCTCAGCAAAAAAGAGGAGGATTGGCAGATGTTAGCTCAGAGCCGATCTTCCTCCCCAAAAAAAAAACAGTGATCAAATTTGGCTACTAAATTGAGCTTCAGAGAGAGGTGAAGATGAGGTTGAAGAAGTTGGGAGAGGCAGGCTGTGAGGTATAAAGGATTTTAAGGAATGTTTTCTTTTTTGCCTAGACTGTAGGCAAATAATTTTTATTGGAGTTATAATTAGGTCTACATTTTAGAAATATAATACTGGTAGTAGCATAAAGCTGTGTTTTCCAAACTGCGTGTAGGTTGTGACCCATTAGTAGGTCGCGAAATCAATTTAATGGATTTTTTTACTAACAATTTTTAAAAGAAATGGGATATTTTATATAATATTTTATTGCCTATAGTAAAGATATTGTTTCATGAAATGTTTATTATGAGTGGGTGTGTGTATGTGTATGATGAATTGTAAGACTGGAGACATATTTCCAACAATATGGTGAACTAGATAACCTGAAAATGTTTCTGCTACAGACTCCTAGGAATACTAAATAAAAAATAAAATAGGCTGTAAAATGCACAGCTAGTGATTAAGAGTGTAAGTGAGATATTCAGGGATTAAAGTGAAGAGTAACTGAAAACAGAGTAGTAATCATGTGAACTAATGTTTGGGGGCTAGGGGATATGGGAGAGGAGGTGATTGGTTTCCTAAACTTAGGGGCTTTGGTTTTTAACAACAAAGTATTAACACTAGGAGGTGAGAAATACCCAGAGTCAGTGCAAGGCAGTAAAGCACGAACTGGATCTCTCTTGCCTTAGGGTCTGGGTTGAAAAAAAATCTTCAGAGAATGCAGAGCTGTGGTTCCATACCTCGTACAGGTTTGGAATTCAAATTCGTACTATCCAAGTGGCCTTGAAACCTGCAATCTGGGAAATTAACATAAAAATTTGATCTCAAGCCAATTCCTGAGGTGCTTAGCAAAAACCAGGCGAAACCACTCTTAACAGTGGCCCACATTCAGTCCAGGTCACACACATTTCTTATGGTTAAAAGCTACACCAGGAGTCAAACCACCATGAGTGAGAATCAGCATATACAACAAACTGAAGGATTAGATTTCCCCCAAAAGTTTGCAAATAGAGCTATCTGGTAGAGACTATGAAATCAGTTTTCTTAAAATGATTTAAAACAAAACTAGGAATCTAAACCGTAAAAGACTCTAAGAGGAGAAAAAAGGTAAAATAGAAAAAGAATTTTTAGAAATAAAAATAGCATCATTAAAATGAAAAACTCATTCAATGAGTTAAACTGTAGATTAGACCCAACTGATGGAGAATTATTGAAGTAGATGACTCATAGGAAATTATCTAGAATGCAGCAGAGGTAAAGACACTGAAAATGTGAAGTTGACTCATAGAAAATAGAATGAAAAGGCACTTCATATTTCTAATGAGTCCTAGATGTAGAGAATATAATTAATAGAGGAAAGACAAGATTTGAAAATGTAATGACTAAGAACTTTCCAGAATTGATGAAAAACAGATTTAAGAAGTACAATGAGTCTGAAGCCAAAAGTAAAAATAAATCTATGTCTAGATACTTCAGAATGAAACTGCAGAACACCAAAGACGTAAAGAAGATCTGAAAACCATCAAAGGAAAAGACAGAAAGCTATTTTGGTGATCAAGTTAAGAGATGACGTGTGCCTGATGTCAGGGGATGGGCCCGCAAGACCTGTCGGAGAACTAGAGGTGGCATGATTTGGTAACTCAGTGAATGTCAAGGTAGAAGGTTTAGGAAGAAGGGGTTTAAGATGATGCTGAGGTTGGTTGTCCAGGCAGGTAATGACCTTGTTCAAGACTGGAAACATAGGAGGATGAAAAGATTTGGGGCGTTTGCCAAAGATTTGAGGAGTGGATCAGAGAAAAATAACATTGTTTAGGACTTTTTGAGTTTGAAGTAACTGTGGGACAGCTAGGTATAGCTACCTGCAGTTAATTAGAAATATCAACTCAGAGTCTAGAAAGGCTAAACATTAGAATATGTGTATTATTTTTGTAAGAGATTATTGAAATCATGAGATTGCCAAGGGATAGGGTGCAAAGTGAGAAGAGATAGTGGCGTGTTTTGGAACTTGGGAGAATAAACCTCTTTTCTAGAAGTAGGTAGAGAATGAGCAATGAGAATGTGTGGGACCAGGAAGGAGTAGGATAAAACTTAAGAAGTTTAGTGAGATTTGATCATCTAGAAATCATGGAAAGAAGATGGGACCCACTTAGTTCCCCAGCAAGGAGTTGTGAAAAAAACATGTGAAATGTTACCAACCCGGGAAGCTCATGGGAGACTCTGTGCTCAAGATTTTTATTCAGGGCTGATCACATTGGCACCCCCGACCTTTGAAAAAGTCTAAGTATTAGAAGTGATACCCAGATTTTAGTCATCTAAGGAATGAATTGGAGGTGAGAAATTGCAAAACATTCAAAAAAGTTGGACAGCAAAGGAAGAAAAAAAGACTTTGTCTCTAGTTTAAAATATTGATAATATACCACGAAGTAATCTAGCACTGTAGAAATGTTTTTGAATTCCTTGTTTATTGTCTGTTTTAGTCTTTGAAGGCAGGAACTTTATTTCTCTCCTCTTCTAATGCTGTTATGAAAACAGCAATACTTGTTAAATGATTAAGCAATTTTTGGTGCCACTTTATTGCCTTCCATCAGATGGACCTCTTTATTTTTTCTTTTCTCCAGTGCCCATCTCATTGTTTGTTTGTTTTTTAACTATTTTCTCTATATTTATCCTTCTTTTTTTGAACTTTCTCATTTATTCATTAGTGGCATTATCTTGGGACAATCAACATTAAAGAGCTTATTCATTTAGGCTTTAGACTGAAACATTGAAAACATTGGTAGGTGTTGGAGGTATATTACTGTGTTCAATTTCTCTTGTCTTAATGTCCCTAGGAAGAATATAAAAAAACAACAGTGTGAAGCCGTTGTTGGAGCCCAGTGTGGCAATGCAGTGTTAAGAGGAGCCCATGTCTATGTTCCAGGAATTGTGTCAGCTTCAAAATGTAAGTATAATGTGTAGGTTTCTCTGTAAAATAAAGATTCTCTAAAATTTATATGCATTTCCACATGTAAAATTTATTAAATTATAGCTTAGATGTGTTTCAAATTTATTTTTACCAAAAATTTTCCAAGTTTTGCATTTAGTATAGCCAGTGAGGGATTTATCTATATGGACTAACAAATCAGGCATCCATATAAAGTTGTCTGCCAGTTTTTTCCTTCCCATAGAAGGATTTGTGTGATGTTTGTTTAGAGGATCATTACTGATTAATAAAGTGTAAGATGTCAGTGAAGTTTTGTTTGTATTCTTGACTCCATTGCCCTAAAACCTCAGGCCGCTGTCGTCACTTGTGAGGGGAACATTCAGAACCTGGAATCTTAATATAGGCATGAAACTCAATATTAATTTACTCACTCAACTGATGACATACTGCATTTGCTTAGTAAGCTAGTCACTGTGGTTCAGCGCTAATTTATTGGACTTGAAATCAAGAAACATGGGTTTTGATCTACTGGGAAGTTACTCAATCTCTGGGCCTCAATTATCTTGTCTGTGAAATAAATAATTTGATCTACGTCAGAGTTTTGCAAACTACTGCCCACTGACCAAGTCTGGCCCACAAGCTAAGAATGTTTTTTTCATTTTCAAAAGGTTGCCAAAAAAAAAAAAAAAAAAAACTACGAAGAAAACTATGCCAAGAGACCTTATGTGGCTCACAAAGCCTAAGATATTTACTTGCCCTTTGCAGAAAAAGTTCACTGACCCCGGAGCTCCGTGATTTGCACAGTCCTTCTAGCTCTAGCCAATAGTCTATTCACTACTGTTGTTGGGTTAATGGTCTCGGCGAATTTATAATAGGTTAAGTCTTAAAACATTTTTTGGAAGTGGAATCCATTTTCCCATTATTAATGTCACTGGGATTTGTTACTGAAGATAATTTAATGAAATGACTACAAAGCTAGATTTAATCAGCCTTATATATAAATCAACTCTGTACACTGTACACTTGAAACTGTACAGTTTCAAGGTGTTCTAAGTATATACACACATATATGAATGAATGTATATGCTTATCGTTAAAATCTCTGCCTTAAATGCTATAACAGGAAAACTGTGAAGAAATACCAACAGGGTTATAGGATTTAGAAAGATTTCTTTGGGGAATTTTAGTGTACATTTTTGAGGAATCCTTTTGAAGGAAACGTAGAACTTTGAGGATTGAGCCAAAGATATCAAGATTTATATGAAGTCTTTTAGAGAATGTTAGGTTTGGGGAAAATAATTTAAATAGAAGATATCCTTCCTGTTTTGCTCAGCTAAAGATTTCCAATTGAGATAGGATGTTTTGAAGACTATTCTATATTTTCCTAGAAAAAATCTTCAATTAAATTTATTGTTAGGGAACATTTAAAAGTAAAAAGTCATATTTTCTATTAGGGATTATATTTAGATAATGAGCCAGTTTAGACTGCTTCATGCCCAGTACTGATGTCCCTACAGGTCCCCAGTCTAGCTTAAAGAATTTTCACTATTCTACCAAAGTATAGATTAATATCACATGATTTTCTTTTTCCTCTAGTTGTGAAAGCTGGAGATATTATTTCTGTATACTCTGATATTAAAGGCAAATGTAAGAAAGGAGCCAAAGAATTTGATGGAACAAAAGTATTTCTTGGAAATGGGATTTCTGAATTAAGCCGCAAAGAAATCTTCAACGGGCTACGTGAACTGAAGTATGTCATCAAGTGTTGTTTGGGGGAAATAAAAAGCATCATTTTTGTGGTTCAAGGAAAATTAAAAACAATGTAAAAAATATATCTAGTTGGATTATATGAAAGTTTTTTTGGTATAAATTCAACTGGAAAATAATTATTTAACCCATATTTCCATGTTTTTGGAAAACATGCTTTTAGGTAGAAGAGTAAATGCTCAGATTAAAGAGCCTAAGTAAGCAACTAGTCACACTGTAATTGGCAAATAATTTTACTTGTCCTTTGAATTTTATTAATTTGAACATTTTTGCATCTTTGGAGAGCAATACTTATCTTGATAAAGGATGAATTAGATGAACCTATCCATATCTTTTTTAACATTCTGATTTTGTGAAGGGAAAAGCTTATGATTTTATATAAATTAAAAAGAAAACAATCTTTTAATTAAAAATAAATTTATCAGAAAGCCAGCATTCACTGACTTTGAATATTTGTGGTCAAAAATTAATGTTTGGGTTTACTAAAACTAAATTAAAATATAGTTTTAAATCATCTCTGGTTGCTCCTGGCTGTGAATAAATTAAATCTATGGACAATCTATTTTCTTATTTTGCTTAGTATTTTCAGCCTGCTTGAGGAGTTCTGTGGACAGTTCCATTACTGCACAGTTGACAACTGATGTAGACATACTGAGAGCTGTGAATTTCTCCATCTGGAACTGGACGCATCCCTGGTTCCTGGAACAGTTTTTCATGTTGCAGTAATTTGGGTTTATGGTTGAAGTTAATTCTTCTGATGAGTCAGGGTATTGGATTCCCTAGTTCTAGATAGCAGTACTTTCCAAATGGCCAAGAACAAAGAATTTATTCTCGTTAGAAGGCTTTATAAATATGAAGATAAAGCATATTTCTGCTGTGTTTGTGTTTGGGTCTGTAATAGGGAGTTGATATTTTGACTGCCTCATTTAGTTCATTATTTATGATACGCTCTTCATCCTCTTACATTATTTGATGTGGTAGTTCCAGTAATTGTGCTGACAGACTTTTTTGAGTAATGTTTTCTTGGTTAGTGGGAGTAGGAGGCAGCCATCTTTCAAAAAACTGTTGATTTTTAAACTCAATTTTTAAACTCAGCATTCAGTTATGCTGTTATGATTTCTTTGTCTACCTATGTGAGAAAAAGCATGTTTACATGACAAAGAAATGCTACATGTACACCCTGTTTCTTATTTATATTCTTTTAAAATTTTGTAGTAAACTCTACTAATGGTATGTTGTTATTCAGCTAGTAAATTTGCACCCTTTGGTGTCTTGAATTCCAGCTGGGTTGACTCATTCATAGACTCATAGAGGTAGATTAATTTACTAACAATGTTTATCTTATGAGATTTTTTGCTTTGCATTATTATATGGAGATATATATTACAAAAATAGTTTTAAAAGAAACATATGTAATACTGTTACCCCACAAAGAGTGGCTTCTCTGCCCGATGCATATAAAAAAACCCAATTATTACGGCATCTGCTTTTGAGAAAAGAGAAGGCTTTATTTTGAGATTGACCAGCAAAGAGATAGGAAGCAATGTTCTTAAATCTGTCTCCCAGATCCAGAGCTTGGGGCAAAATTTATGGGATAAAAGGGCAGTGCTGTCTAAAGTGTGGATGAGGAAGTAAGGAGAAGTGAGGTAATTGATGATCTGTGCAAGCCGGGTCAAGCTTCATGGCTCTTTATAGGATGCATGTTAACAAAATGGTGGTGTTAGCATGATCTGAGGGTGGAGTTTTTTGCCCCCTGATGTCAAAAGGGTCATCAGTGGGGCATTTGCACAGGCCCAGTTCATGGGTTAGTGGTGTAGGGAAGGAAGAACTATTCCTCTACCCTCTAGGTCCTTCTGGCTGGTCTAAGAATTAAATTGACATGAGACAGAATAACAGGAGAAAATCAAACAAAGCTTTATAACATGTATACATGGGAGAAACCCAGAAAAACTGAGCAAGAGGCTGTCACCTTAAATACCATCTTCAGCTAAAGACAAAGGAGGATGTTGGGGGTGGTTGGTTGGGGCTTCACAGGGGAGGAAGGCAATTCACATGGAAATGGAAAAGCAGATGTTTGATAGATGGAACTTTGATAAGAATGGGCTTAGCAAAGATCCTCCCAGTCTACTGATACCCCAGGACAGGCCTTTTCTCTTAAGTTCTTTTAGGCAGTTAGAGGGGGAGGTCAAAGTTTCTTTCAGTCTTTTGTCCTTAAAAATAATCAAGGCAAAGAACACATTTTTGGGTGGCCAATTCTGATCCCCCACAAACACATCTAGGTGCTGGGAGTGTGGTGCCCTGGGAGAGGGCGTGGAAACTCCATGCCCCTCTCCCATGCCTCATCTATGCATCTCTTCCATTCGGCCGTTCCTGAGTTGTATCCTTCGTAATAAACTGGTAACAGTAAAGTGTTTTCCTGAGTTCCGTGAGTTGTTCTAGCAAATTATAAAACCCGAAGAGGGAGTTATCAGAATCCCCAAATCTGTAGCCAGTTGATCAGAAGTACAGGTGGCAACCTGGGCTGTGCAGCTGATATCTGGAGTGGAGCCAGTCTTGTTGCACTGAGCCTTTGACCCTGTGGAGTCGGAGGATAACTCCAGGTGGTGTCAGAATTGAATTGGTGGACGCCCAGTTGGTGTCCAGAGACTTGGACAAGTGGTTGGTGTGAGGAAAAAACCCACACATTTGGTTGTTGGGTTTTTTAATATTAGCCCCCCTGCCTACCTCAAATAGGGTACAAACCATCTGTGTAGATGCTTCTCTGCCAAGATTGGTTCGTAAGCTATGAACTTGTCTAGTGACCGTATCTGAGCCCTCTTCTTGTTCTCCCTACTCGGCCTGTCCTTTGCTTGTACCCTTGTGCCTAACTGAAATCCTGGTTCTTACCCTTGCTTTTATGATTAGACTGCACTATTTTCTGTGTTCCTCTAATCTCCAGAACACTGTGTTGATTTCCCTCTTTGTCTTGCTCACTGTGGTCTGGCCTGATACACCAGGCTTTCTCTAACGGTGTTTGTGTGCTTTCTTTCCCGTTGACGGCCTCTCTCAGATTGCGATGTTTATTTTTGTGAATCACTGCCCACCTGGCTCCTGGCCCTTGCTACTCTTATCAGTTCCACTGCCACTCATAAAAAGGGACAAAGTTGGAAAAGGTCATTTTGGGGATTGTGTCAGTACTGGGCGATTATTCTCTATAGAGAGGAGAGCAGTGTGGCGTGTTTGTCATTGCTTAGCATCAACATGATTCTTAAGTATATTTTTATTTTTTGTGTAGGTACGTCACATAGTGCCTTGCAAACTGGATTGTTTGTTGAATTGAAAGGCTAATAACAATGATCATAAATCTACTACCAGAAAGATTAGAATGAATCAATAAATAAAGATGCAGATGTTCTTTGCTTTTTAAATCTGTTCAGATCTCTAAAGACACTCATTTGTGCCTAAATGAAAAATTTATGTAACTTTATTCTTTTTAGTTCTTCTAATGGCCTCCTACTGCAGGTCAAAATTCAGAAACAATTCACAGGAATGTTCTAAGTATTTTGGTGTTGAGTAAAAAAGGTGGTAAAAAGGCAGAGCAATTTATATTTGACCTGTTACTTGGGTATGTTCCTAGAAATGGAGTTTGTATAGATTATGTAATTTATACTAATGTTAGATTTCTTACTTTTCAGAGGTATAGGCGTAAGAATGACAGAACCAGTATATCTCAGCCCTTCATTTGACAACGTACTGTCCAGCTACATATTTTTACAGGTAAGTATTTGTAAAAGTAAAATATTTAGTAACATTGAAACATCAGTGAATTATTTGAAATCTAAGAATTTTTAAAAAAATTATTTTATTGAGGTCATATTGGCTTATAACATTGTTTAAATTTCAGGTGTACATAATTATATATGTTTCAGTGTAGACTGCATTGTGTTCACCACCAATAGTCTAGTTTCCATCTGTCACCATACATATGTGCCTCTTTACCCCCTTTGCCCTCCCCCCCACCCCCTTTCCCTCTGGTAACCACAAATTAAGGATGTTTTTTTCACTTGTTCTGACATATTTTTTGTCATCTCTTTGTATGTTTTCTGATCTACCTTTGTTTACAGTAATAAATAACTTTGCAAACACTCTTCTTTTTCTCAACCGATTTTTAACTACTTTTTCTATCCTCCTTTGCCCAAGGGTGCTTTAATATAAAGCTTCTTATAATTATTTATTTCCATCTCAGAATATTAATCTCTAATAATGCATGCTTTTGCTATACCTGTAAGTATTCTATTTGTAACGCTGAGGAAGATTCAAATGGTTTACTACTAACAGATTTTGTCAGGTGGTTATCAACTGCTGTGGTATAACAAGTCATCTGTTTTGCCTTGTTCAGTTTATTAAGTACTTTCATGTACATTAACTCATTTGATTTGTTGCAATCTGCTGGTTAGGTAGCAGCAGTGTTATTATTCCCAATGTAAGATGAAGATACTAAAGATCAGATCTGTTAGGTTCTTGAACAAGGTCATATAATTAGTAATGAGGAGTGTCTGAACTGGAGCCTAAATGCAGATGCCATTTGCTTTCCCAGTATCTAACCAAAAGACGTTTTCTAAATCCATAGATTATTTCCGGTGTGAACAAATAGAAAGACAGATTTGTGTTTATCATCATCTGATATAGCCTAATATTTAATCATACAGATTCTTCATCGGTAATCTATGCCAGCCTTTTTTTTTTTTTTTTTTAAGTTTGCCATTGTGCTAGGTGCTTTGAGCCTGTTTTCCTAAGCCTGCAGTGGCTTACAATTTAAGAAAACTGGTACCTTTTCTTGAATTATGTTCAGTAACTGGTTAACTTGTGAAGATGAGATAGTTCATAGTGTGACTGGCTAAACAAGTTATACCTTGAAGAATCATATTTAGTAAGCACAAGAGTTTGGCAAGTAGTAGCCTTTGTCCATTCTGTGCAATTGCTGAAGTTACTTTACAGAATAGGTGGAATTATATACTTTCCGTTGGGACAATTCGTGGCGGAAATTTGTGATTTTTTTTTTTTTTGGATGCCTCCTACCTTCTCTGGACAACAATTATCCCCAAATCTGTATTCTTTGTTGCCTCCAACAGCTAATGCAAAAGCTTCACATTGTGGGTGTTTTTTTAGGAGGGGGGTTTAAGGGGCTAGTGATAACAGAATGTTTTTCATTTTAGCACCTGAAGTTACATAAGAATGTGCTTTATAAAGTTAATGGGAGTGTTGTATACAATCATTAAAATTACAACTGTGCAAATTTCATTTGGTTTTTCAAAATCTAAAAGGAAACTTTAGAATTGCTTAAACACAATCCACAGAATTATAAAATAATCTGAGATGCCCTTCACAATTGAAAAAATTGTCGGTTAAAGGTTTAACACTTAAATCCAACAACTATTCTCAGTTATGTTCTAGGTTAACTGGAATCAAAAATGGTGCCTGAAACTTAAGTTTCTCATTGCCTAGTTTCTTGTAAATAATTGGTTTAAGAGCCAGATGAGGTTGGACAATCTAGGGAACTTTAAATACTACTGCCTGGGCCCTACCACCTGAATTCCTTTCAGTTGGTCTGGCTGGCATGGGGCCTGGGTCAGGATGGTTACATCACCCCTGGTGATTCTAATGTGGAGCTAAGGTTGATAATCCCTTTAGCATAGCAATGGTGCACATCTAGCTGCAGGTTAGAATCACCTGGGGAGATTTTTTTTTAATTGATGTCGTAATAGTTTATAACATTGTGAGATTCCAGCTGCACATTATTATTTGTCAGTCACCATATAAATGCACCCCTTCATCCCTTGTGCCCACCCTGGGGAGATTTTTAAAACACTGATGCATAGGCCCTGTTGCCAGAAATTCTGATTTAACTATTCTAGAGGAGTACTGGACATTTATTTTTTTATTTTTTGTTTATTGCAGTGACATTGGTTTATAACATTGTATAAATTTCAGGTGTACATCATTATACTTCTATTTCTACATGGATTACATCATGTTCTCATGTTCACCACCCAAATACTAATTACAATGCATCACCACACCATGTGCCTAATTATCCCTTTCACCCTCCTCCCTCCCTTCTTCCCCTCTGGTAACCACCAATCCAATCTCTGTCTGTATGTGTTTGTTGTTGTTATTATCTGCTACTTAATGAGTGAGATCATATGGTATTTGACCTTCTCCCTCTGACTTATTTCACTTTGCATAATACCCTCAATGTCCATCCATGTTGTCACAAATGGCTGGATTTGATTGTTTTTGTTTGTTTGTTTGTTTTTTTGGGGGGGGGAGGAAGATTAGCCCTGAGCTAACATCCGATGCCAATCCTCCTCTTTTTGCTGAGGAAGATTGGCCCTGGGCTAGCCTCCATGCCCATCTTCCTCTACTTTATATGGGACGCCACCACAGCATGGCTTGACAAGCGGTGTGTCAGTGCTCGCCCAGGATCCAACCCTGTGAACCCCGGGCCGCTAAAGCGGAGCATGCGCACTTAACCACTATACCACCAGGCCAGCCCTGGATTTCATCGTTTCTTATGGCTGAGTAGTATTCCATTGTGTATATATACCACATCTTCTTTATCCATTTGTCCCTTTTTTTTTTTTTTGTGGGGAAGATCAGCCCTGAGCTAACATCCGTGCGAATCCTCCTTTTTTTGCTGAGGAAGACTGGCCGTGGGCTAACATCCGTGCCCGTCTTCCTCTACTTTATATGGGACGCCACCACAGGATGGCCTGACAAGCAGTGCACCGGTGTGCGCCTGGGATCCGAACCTGGGCTGCCAGCAATGGAGTGCACGCACTTAACCGCCATGCCACGGGGGCTGGCCCCAATCCATTCGTCCCTTGATGGGCACGTAGGTTGCTTCCAAGTCTTGGCTATTGTGAATAATACTGCAGTGAACATAGGGGTGCGTGTATCTTTACGCATTGGTGTTTTCACGTTCTTTGGGTAAATACCCAGCAGTGGAATGGCTGGATCCTATGGTAGTTCTATCCTTAATTTTTTGAGGAATTGAACATCTTTTCATGTGCCTGTTGGCCATCTGTATATCTTCTTTGGAGAAATGTCTGTTCAGGTCTTTTGCCTATTTTTTAATTGGGTTGTTAGTTTTTTTGTTGTTGAGATGCATGAGTTCTTTATATATTTTGGAGATTAACCCCTTGTGAGATGTATGGTTTTCAAATATCTTCTCCCAGTTGTTAGGTTGTCTTTTTGTTTTGTGGATGATTTCCTGTGCTGTGCAGAAGCTTTTTAGTTTGATGTAGTCCCATTTGTTTATTTTTTTCTATTGTTTCTCTTGCCCATTCAGACATGGTGCATGAAAATATGTTGTTAAGACTGATGTCGAAGAGCGTACTGCCTATGTTTTCTTCTAGAAGTTTCATGGTTTCCAGTCTTACATTCAAGTCTTTAATCCATTTTGAGTTAATTTTTGTGTATGGTGTAAGGTAATGATCTACTTTCTTTTTTTTTCATGTGGCTGTCCAGTTTTCCCAACACCATTTGTTGAAGAGACTGTGCTTTCCCCATTGTATATTCTTGGCTCCTTTGTTGTAAAGTAGTTGACCATATATGTGTGGGTTTATTTCTGGGCTCTTTGTTCTGTTCCATTGGTCAATGTGTCTGTTTTTATGCCAATACCATACTATTTTAATTACTGTAGCTTTGTAGTAGAGTTTGAAATCAGGAACCATGATGCCTCCAGCTTTGTTCTTCTTTCTCAAGATTGCTTTGGCTATTTGGTGTTTTCTGTGGTTCCATGCAAATTTTAGGATTATTTGTTCTATTTCTCTGAAAAAAGCCATTGGAATTTTGATAGGAATTGCATTGAATCTATAGATTGCTTTGGGTAGTTTGGACATTTTAACAAAATAAATTCTTCCAATCCATGAGCACAGAATATCTTTCTGTTTGTGTCGTCTTTAATTTCTTTCCTTAATGTCATGTATTTTTCAGTATACAGGTCTTTCACTTCCTTGGTTAAATTTATTTCTAGGTATTTTATTCTTTTTGATGCAATTGTAAATGGAATTATTTCCTAATTTTTTTTTCTGATAGTTTGTTATTATTGTATAGAAATGCAACAGATTTTTGTGTTGATTTTATATCTTGCAGCATTACTGTATTTGTTTATTAGTTATAACAGTTGTTTTTTTTGCTGAGGAAGAATTGCCCTGAGCAAACACCTGTGCCCATCTTCCTCTATTTTGTATGTGGGTTGCCACTACAGCATGGCTGCCGATGAGTGTTGTAGGTCTGCAACTGGGAGGCAAACCTACACTGCCAAATCAGGGCGTGCTAAACTTAACCACTAGGCCATGGTGCCAGCTCCTAGTTGTAACAGGTTTTGATGGTATCTTGAGGATTTTCTATATATAAATAATGCCATGTCTTAGGCAAATAGTGACAGTTTTGCTTCTTCCTTTCCAATTTGGATGACTTTTATTTCTTTTCCTTGCCTAATTGCTTGGCTAGGACTTCCAAAACTGTGTTGAATAAAAGTGGTGAGAGTGGGCATCCTTGTATTGTTCCTGATCTTAGAGGAAAAACTTTCAGCTTTTTACCATTGAGTATTATGTTGGGTGTTGGCTTGTCATGTATGGCCTTCATTGTGTTGAGGTATGTTCCCTCTGCCCGCTTTGTTAAGACTTTTTATCATAAATGGATGTTGACTTTCGTTAGAGGCTTTTTCTGCATCTATTGAGATGATCATATGATTTTTATCCTTCATGTTG